AAAAAATAGAAAAAACTCAAAAAGGACTCGGATATTTTTTCTGTAGTAAAGACTATAAATGTGACTTTTATGAGTTACTTTTTTTCACTTTTTTTCGCAAAAATTGACTGAAAATCCAACTCTGCTGTGTTCGTGTGTTCTAACTGCTCTGACAATGAAATGTGGCTACCTGAGCATCTTGGAATTAAGTCGTGAAACCGATTTTCTTCTTTTATAAATAAGCCTCAAAAACTCACTCTGGCGGGATATCGGAGTTTCATTAAAAAAGTTTTCATTAAGAGGAAGTTCATTAAAACTTTAACGAAACTTCCTGTGTGTTCGGTGACTCTGGATTTTCCTTAAAATTTTTAATGAAGTTCTTCTATCATCAAAAAATTTTAATGAAACTTTTGTGCCATCAAAATCATTTTAGTGGAACTCTTGTTAAAATTTTTTTAACGAAAGTACCGGGACTTTCATTACAGCATTTTTAATGAAAGTTTTGTTAATGAAAGTCATCCAACTCACTCTGACTTTCATCTTTCCAGTACCAGTAATAGCTAGTAAGAGATAGTTATTTGTTGTTTAACAGAAATAGACAAGGTAACAAATTTTATAGCAACAAGCGTAGTTTAGATTCACAAGGATGCTGTGGGGCTACCGTACAACAATATCAATAGTTAACGCAAAACGAACGTTGTCATGAGTTAGCCTCCTTCTATCCCCACTGTGGTTAAAAGTAAGCATTTGTACACACTTCCTTTTCTCCTTAGGATTATGTAATATCCGAACAACACGTTAACATACGTTAGATTGCCATCTTTACATCTTTCTAGCAGAGATATGTTTAAAGCATCATGAAATGATATACTATCACCGATAGACAATTCACAGTTTAGACATTCGAGAGAACATACATTACCGTTCAATAGCGCTTGTACGAACAAAAAGAGAAGTACAGCTTTAGTAAACATTATCGTTTCTAAAATAAGAAAGGACGAATATTTTGTCTTTCGTTAGTGTTTGTCAGGTAGATAAGAAGGTAACTGTTATTCATCATGACAATGTTAAAATGGAATTAGTTTAGTGACTTTAGATATCTCTTTCTGCCTAGAATGAGAATATTGTGAAAACGTTGATAATAAAATTTTAAAAAGTTTACATGATTGTTAGTGACGTGATTATGCAGATCTTCTATTATGTGTCAGCTGATTGATGTAGATATACATAGAAATTATGTTCGAGTCATTCATCCTTTTGTATGGTCGCAAGTACTATTATATAATATCACCTTTGATTTGATTCACAGTTTAAGGTGAACAATTAAAATATAGATAACACGATGAAGACTACCTTTTTATTTTGAAAATACACATGTTTTCTTGAGACATTTCGCCTTTATTCAACAAACATGAGCAGTCAAATCACTTTAAAAGTTATTTCAACATACAATAGAAAGAAATTATGTACATGTGTAGAAAACGGAACAAAAACCTAAATTCCTTGTTCCTACTAGTGAGTATGTTATGTGTAATGACTAATCAAAAATATTCAAAAAAACAAAGCTATTTCGAGAATAGATGACCTTTCGCTTGTTCTTGTGAATTAATTTTTCTGAATGTCAATTCTTTTTCGTGTTTGATGTTTTTTACAAAATCTGTATTCTCTTTTTAATTTATCGTGTCTACTGATGAAGATGCGAAGCATCGAAACGTTTAGACAAACATAATTTGTGGGAATAAAATTACCATTTAAAAGTATCAAAGGTTACAAAAAGCAACTACCAACGTCTTGAGGTAACGATTTGTACGGACGAATTGCAGGTACGATAGAGAATTTTATTGTGCATCTAACCGTATATAATTGTTGGTTTGGAACTATGATCGTTTCTCAAAAAATAAATTTTAAACATTTTGACCATTTACGGACATGAGATGGAATTCCGCTCGTTTAATGGCGGTTCTAACGAAGTGCAAATTTTCGACGTTGAATTTTTTTCTTATTAATACACGCGGTCAAATTGTGTTGCTAGATAGAGTTAAGTACCAGGCAATTGTTGACAAAGTTTGAGAGTGGTACTGTATTTGTTTGACCTGCTATAAAAGTTTTAGTGAGGCATATGAAAAATAAGAATTTCAAAGGATCCTGTCGAATTTCAAAAGTATGTCTAACCAGAAAGCTATATATCAGGTTTTGTAGAGCTTCTCGCGACGGATCTAAATCTGTATTGGGTTTTGGTTAATACCTGCTGGTTACCGAGATATCGGTGTCACCATGTTCTTGGTCTTTAATCGGTATTGATGATTATTTTATTGATGTTCCTCACCCTCAATCTCAAGTGTGTCCACGATAACAAAGATTTACTTCTCAAATCAAAATACTTGATATTGTGGATTTGTATGAGTCGATCTTTTATTCTACCTCGATAAAAGTTCAAATTACGGATAAAATCATGTATTTAGTTGTTCTTTGTTGCTGAATATTGAACAAGACACTAAATGCACACAAATGAGGATCAGTATTCATAGCTTCAAAGACCCTTTGTAAAGCAGAAACGAGTCAATAATTGATCCGCAATGGTGCACATGGTATTCATGGTCTTTTAGGCCTAAAACTGATTTTTTTAGCTGTTTGAAAATGTCCGAGGTGTCTCTAATTACTCGCAATCGGATCAATAAGATATATTCTCTAAACTATAAATAGATATTTATTTTTAATTGAAAGTCATAAGTTTATAAAAGACAAAGAATCAAATTAAGTGACAGGTATATGTGCACGAATGTCAAGCGCTTTCTTCCACATGGTTAATGCTTTTAAATCATCGTTGAGGAATAAATAAACCAATGCAAGATTATCATAGAGTGTAGCAAATGTATTAAAAGATGGAGTATCGGGTGATCGATTAGTCTTATATAATTGTTCTGCTTGTGAAAGATTTTCTAATGCTTGAGAATAATCGCGTTTTCTTATATAACACAAACCAATTGAATACAAATGCCGAGCACGTTGATTAGATGTTAAATCATTCTTATATTTTAATTCATACTGATGTTTCTTTAATGTCTGATCATCTGGAGTAAATGGTAATCCATATTCTTGATCGATTTCATTAGCTAATGTTTCAAAAAGATTGGCTTCATCAAAATGATCGAGTTTTTTATATACATTATTCATTTTCCGATACATATCAGCTAAATGATGATAATCTATATTATCCTCTAGAATTTTTAATGCTTCTTGATAACATGACAATGCAATTTGAAAACGATCTATTCTCATCCACACATCAGCGATATGATTGTATAATTCTCCACTTAATAAATTCTTATCGTCTAATAATGTGTTAGGAAGTATAAACCAAATTTATATCAGCAATGGTCATCTTTCAAATATACATGTTCTCTTCACTCGATGGTTATTTTCCCTTTCTGTTCTTTTGTTATATGTATTCACTGTTCTGTTTTTCTATGATGTATTATTTTTCTCTTTCTGTTCACTCTTTCCCATGGGTATTTTTCATTTCTATTCTTCTCTCTCTCTCTCACTCTCTCTCTTGTACAATAGCTGTTTTTCCCAGTTTCCCA